ACGGGAATTTGGGCGACCTTTTGGAGCAGATCTGCGTTGACGCGGTCTGAGTGCCCGAGAAGCTGATGTTGCGTAACAAACACGTTCCGTAGTTGCGGCAACAAAAAGGCTGCGTAAAATAAAAACAAAAACAAAAAGGGACGGCACAGTCGTAACTCATTATTTTTTGATCTAAATCTGTAACTGTGTTTGTGTTTTATTATATATACATTTTAAAAACCTAAAATCCAGAAAGCGGTTTAAAATAATCCACGAATAAAAGCTTGATGGTGGTCAAAAAAAAAAAAAAATCTTAAAAATGCCACACACTTTTTTCTAAATGGGAAGATATTTGGATAATGGCAGAAATTGTGTTTTTCTTCTCTCTCAAAAATGTAAATACCAATTGATAGCCAAATGTGTGGTCCATGTTATGTATTTATAATCAAATTTAATTTGAAATTTCATAGAATCGGAAATATGCACTAGTGTCAATCTATAGTCACAACAAAAACACTAATTTGACAAGTTACTTTGTTTTAGCGTATTATTATTTTTAATTTTCATCTTTGTTTTATTGGCATGATAATGAAACGCTGTATTTGTCGTTTTGCATGAATGAATGCATTTGTTGTGTTTTGAATATGCCTTCCAGTGGTATGGTGACATACATATATACGAATGGGCTCATCAACTTGTATTTAATCATTTATAATACATTTTTGCTCTCATCGTTTTACGAAAGATGATAATTAAATTGAGTCAAATTAGTTTTGAAAATTTAATAAAAGTAAAAACTTATTAACCGATACAATTCTGACCTTAGCAATTAATATGAAATTAAAAAATACACAATGTTTTGATTTTGAAGTCGTATTTACTAAGTTACTTATTGGAAAGAAAATAAAAACAACATTCAGACTACTTGCCGACAAAGAGAGCACAAATGTGGCATTCCGGGTTCTAGGAGGGTAAAATTGTTGATATGACCTCAAAATACAACTCACGGAAGCGCCGGCACTAGTTTTTCCAGAAGTTTCGACTATGGACTAGGTACTGTCCAGGCCAGGTAACACAAGTTTGGGAAGGCACTGAAAAGGTAATCGCATATGTAACCAGTGATCAGAGCAGTATAGTCGGACAGGGCCGACCATATGATACCATACACAACTATCACGAAAACTAAACTTTCTGCGGTTCTATATTCTGAGCCTGGGCAATATTTCGTGATATTTGCACACTTTTTACCGATTATAGATCTTGAATATTGACCGATCATCATCTAAATATCCGCTCTAAGTATTTGGTCAAATCCTCTTGTAAAATATGTGATGTTCTGCATATAATAATTGCCTCTAGAGCGACTAGAAAATCTGACAAAAATTACAGTTTTCGGTTCATTGCACCTTCTGAATGAAATCTCAACTTTACCGCAAACTATAGGCGTCGTCATTGACCATAATCGGAACATCATGTACAATTTCAAAGCTATCAGCGCGACATTTCCCTTCTCTAATGGGGTAATATTAATACTATGCACTTGGTCACCTTGACCTAATTACGTATAACTCCCACATCAGAGTACATACAACCATATAATTGGTATCAATTTAAAGTTCGGGTATATGTCCTTCAGGATCAAGTATATACCCCCCAGAATAAAATTTTCGTAATTTTTCACACCGAAGTTTGGGTCATATGACCCGCTAAATATTGACCGATCTTTATCAAAACACGCATGTTTATTCTTTTGCCTGACCCCCCTCTCCATGTAAAATTTCACGATGTTCGGACTATAACTGCGGGGTCTTCATTGATCAGAACCCATATACTTAAAGGTGGGTCTAGGACCAATATTTCGCGGCGTTACAAACTTTTGGGGCTGCACAAAGCTATAATACCCTGACAACATAGTTGTGTAGGGTATAAAGGGAAAAGGAATGCTATATAGCTTTGGGAATGGGATATTTTGACGACGTGTCCCTATTTGGAAAGATACGACCTTAATGTGTTATAACCGATCATTTATCCATAAAGTCCTTCAATATCGCCAAAGAGCCAAATATGTATACAGTAGATACCCGTAGATAACTACGAAAATTGAAGATATGGGATCTAAAACCCTTTGTTCACGGAACCACAAAAACAACGGATATGGTAGGATAATCATAGCCAAACAGCTGCAAGCATATCTGGATTCGTTTGGAATCACATCGACAGGAGAACCATTATTATAGGGTCCAGATAAGATCAAACCCAATCCGAAGTCTGAAGAGGTCACGGGTTGATGCAATTCCTCAGACGCTGAGGCATACTGAAAGTGATTTGCAGGGCGCGTCGCAAAGGCCAGTGAGAAAGAGAAGTCCAATAAACAATACCATATGTCCTTCAGGAGCAAGAGAATAAAAATTTCGTAATTTTTCACACCAAAGTTTGGGTTATATGGCCAGCTAAATATTGACCGATCTTTATCAAAACACGCATGTTTATTCTTTTGCCCGCCTCTCCATGTAAAAATGTTCGGTATAACTGCGGGGTCTTCATTGATCAGAACCCATCCTACATGCAAAATTTCGTGAAGATTGGTCCATAACTGTGGCCTGTATCGTGTTTATAAATTATAATGGACAGACGAACAGAGAACACACATGTCTAGATATCAGCTAGTCGCGGTATACTTAAAGGTGGGTCTAGGACCCGTTACAAACTTTTGGGGCTGCACAAAGCTATAATACCCTGACAAAAGAGGAGAAAAATTACTCCGCAAGGGAAAAGGAATGCTATATAGCTATAGGTATGGGATATTTTAAAGACGTGTCCCTATTTGGAAAGATACGACCTTAATGTGTTATAACCGATCATTTATCCATAAAGTCCTTCAATATCGCCAAAGAGCCAAATATGTATCGTAGATACCCGTAGATAACTACGAAAATTGAAGATATGGGATCCAAAACCCTTTTTTCACGGAACCACAAAAACAACGGATATGGTAACATAATTATAGCCAAGCAACTGCAAGCATATCTGGATTCGTTCGGAATCACATCGACAGGAGAAACGCTATTAACGGGTCCAGATGAGGCCAAACCCAATCCGAAGCCTGAAGAGGTCACCCTGTTGATGCAATTCCTCAGACGCTGAGGCATACCGAAAGTTATTTGCAGGGCGCGTCGCAAAGACCAGTGAGAAAGTGAAGTCCAATCAACAATACCCTATCTCCTTTGATATGACTTCAATTGAAGCACAATATACGGCACGGAGTAATGTCCCACCACGATTGGAGCTGGTTGGTGTCAAGTTCGGTCCATAGTAAACCAGCTTGGCTTCCGATAACAACAGGTCGGGGCATGCATGTAACTAATCCAGTTTTATTTCAATTGGTAATCCAAGAAGCTACGTATCCCACTTGCATCAAATTTACGAATTGGCCCCTGAACCACGGATAGTGAGACTATAAAGCTGCGAATGACATATATGCAAAGGTTAGACTGACGAGTGAGGTAGGGCCAGGAAGTAGTTAACATATTCAGGCGCTTTCATCCGACAGAGTCAGGGAACTCCATCAGCACCTGAAGGTAGCAACATAATCCCGGCATCCAATACTATAGACTAGTGACTGTGCTTAATTAGAGGTGAAGTTAGGTGGTTAGCCGGAAAGGCTATAGGGTGTTACCGTGAATCAACCTCCATCCGACGACAAAACAAATGGTTCGGACTTGGTATATGATAACCTGAAACAATACACCTCCTCTAGTAATAATCTAGTAATGTACTTGCTTTGGTCTTACTTGTCGTAGAATCCTGTAGTATCCTTGTTCAAGTAATTATTAATGTCTCGAACGTAGAATCCGATAGCTCCTCTAATTGTATTTTTTGAGTTCTTATTAGGGTCTCCTTCGGTAGAATTCCTTCATATTTTGCTTGGGTACATATAAAGGTAAGGATACGGAAGGACTCTACTGCATGTCCTTTCGTATCCTTACTGGAGTACTTATTAAGTGTATGTTGCTGTAGAATCATCTCTTACTCCAAAATAGTTGCACGTGACAAAAACCTAGGTAAAAAATTTATTTCCTGGTTATAGCCAGAGAGCCTATAATTCCTCAATCGTCATGTCACATTGACCCAATAGAACGGATAAGCTTTGCATCTAATAATAAGTCCTATACAAAGTATCTCCCTTTCCCTTAAAAAAGTTCTGTCACGCTCAATAGACTCGGTGAAGCTATCAGAAGTATTGGATGCTCTTTGTTCCATAAACGATATTTCAACGAGGCACATTTTTGTCTGTATTGACATTAGCCCTAAGGATGAGCTATGGAAATTGTGTTATTACGTTTCGAATGACTTTATATTTACGTTTTGAATTATATATCAATAACATATTTAAAAAATTCTTCTCATAGAAGTATTTAAAAAATTTCGAATTTACTGTTAGAGGACATTCCAATGCACTCCGAAAGTGGAATTAATAAAAAAGTCAATATCCATATTTTTTTGTATAAAAAAGTTTATTGTAGTATAAAAAATTTTCTAATCTTAACTATAGTCATGATATCAATAACAACTGAATGAAACAATTAAAACGAAACAAATGAACTTGTTAATTTAACAAGCTGTGTGATTGTGTGGCTTAATACCTCAGGCATCGTTCTAAACTTCCGATCTGGGAGAGAAATTTAGAAACGGAAACGTTTAAGAGGAGCATCATAGTTATAGCCTGTGGAGCTGGAGCTAGAGCTGGAGGTGGAGACAGAAACAGTTTGCTGTTGTTGAGGTGGCAAGTATTCGTTGGATGGAGCAGCTACTGGTGCGGAGTATTGAGGAGCTGGGGCAGAGTATTGTGGAGCAGGAGCGGGTGCAGAGTATTGGGGAGCTGGGGCGGAGTATTGAGGAGCTGGGGCAGGTGCGGAGTATTGAGGAGCGGGTGCTGAGTATTGAGGAGCTGGGGCAGATTGTTGTTGCTGAGGAGGCAAGTATTCGTTGGATGGAGCAGGGACGGGAGAAGTGTATTGGGGAGCTGGAGCAGAGTATTGGGGAGCTGGAGCAGCAACGGGAGCAGAGTATTGGGGAGCAGGAGCAGCAACGGGAGCAGTGTAGGTTTCCTGAGGAGGCAAGTATTCATTGGATGGAGCAACAGCTGGGGCGGAGTATTGAGGAGCAGGGGCAGAGTATTGGGGAGCTGGGGCAGGAGCAGAATATTGAGGAGCAGGGGCAGAGTATTGAGGAGCTGGAGCGGGAGCAGAGTACGATTGTTGAGGTGGCAAGTATTCATTGGATGGAGCAGCAGCTGGGGCAGAGTATTGAGGAGCAGGGGCTGTGTATTGTGGAGCTGGAGCTTGAACAGGGGCAGAATACTGAGGAGCTGGAGCAGCAACAGGAGCAGAGTACTGAGGAGCTGGTGCCGAATATTGAGGAGCTGGAGCAGGGGCAGAGTACGATTGTTGAGGTGGCAAGTATTCGTTGGATGGGGCAGCAGCTGGTGCAGAATATTGTGGTGCAGGAGCTGAGTATTGTGGAGCTACAGCTGGTGCAGAATATTGAGGAGCAGCAGCTGGCACATCAAAAACTGGAGTTGGTTTGTCATAGTTGTAGCCATTACCCACAACGTGGGATACATCAGCCGACACAGCGACGATGACACAAACAGCAATCAAAAAGAATTTCTATTGGAAAATAAAACAGAAAACGAATTGTTGATTAATTTTAAGTCACAACACATTTCTTCTTGATATTGCTTTAAGGTCACTTTTGACTAGGTCACCACTTTATAGGTCACTAATTAATATTTAATTAATTAATTCATCACAAAAACGAAGTAAATCCACGAGCCTATCCATTTCGTTGGCCTGCATTCGTTCCATCAACTTACCATTGTTTCAAATTGTTGACGATTGACGATTTATTCCAAAACTTTGGATTTGATATCACGACAAGCGCAGACTAGTGAATGATGACATTATCCAGCTTACAGTGCATATTTATAAGCGAATAGTTTTTGCTTTTTTTCTCTTTTCGGATGTCAACGTATAAAAAAATCAGAGAATCTTGGCGTTGGCTAAATTAAATATTTGTTTTTTTTTTAATATAAAAATTATAAATTTACACAAACCCAACGAAGATGCTCACGACGGCGATGATGATGATGATGATGCTGAAGAAGCTGCTGCCAGTGGCAGTGATGTCCCATCGTAGTTGTTGTTGTTGTGCTCTGCAGCTCTGCATTTCATAGCAGTCATAAAGAAGCAGCACGATAAATCTCAGCATCCAAAAATTTTATTTTCTTTTGATTGGGCTTGGCGGTCAAGAAATTGATAATGTTGTTCACATGGTTGTTGTTGTTGTTTTTCTGTGGTTTCATTGTTGTTGTAACGCTTTAGTTTATAGCTATGATTTTTTTTAATGATTTTGCAACGTCCAACATCAAACTCAGGTTTTTTTTCTAGTTGATATCAAAAACAAGACAAGGCAAGAAGATGTCTCAAACCTGTTTTATTATCATTCGTGTCGTGTACTTGTTGTTGTTGTTACTGAGTTACAATTTATTGTAAACTGTGAGATTTCTGCACAAAAAAAGTAACGACCATAACTTGGTCACTTGGCCAAAGTTGTAATACCGCCACTTAATTCCCATCGAATATTTCGTTTGTTATTTCCTTTGCTACAGAAAACAAGAGTTTCGTTCGTGTCTGGTTTGAAACTTGTTTCAATGTCAAGTTCAACTTTTTTTCTTCCAGTCAATTAGGCAGAATTTGTTATTAGACATGAGATAATTTTTCTTTTTCCGACCAATAGACAGAGACGGAACGGAAAGGCATTTTGTCAAAAATGAAATTTAGAAACGGAAACGTAAAGAGGAGCATCATAGTATAGCAGCTGGAGCTAAAGGCAGCAACAATTTGCTGTTGAAGTGGCAAGTATTCTTTGGATGGAGCAGCTACTGGTGTGGAGTATGGCGGTGCTGGGACAGAGTGTTGGGGAGAAGGAGCTGGGGCGGAGTATTGAGGAGCAGGGGCAGGTGCAGATTATTGAAAAGCGACAGTGGGTAAAAGGGTTTTGTCCAAAATTAAAATTGGTTCGCCTTCTATAAGACAAGAATTTTATATTACCCAAAATGAAAATGGGTTCGCCTTTTATAAGACGACATTTTGATATACTCCAATTTAGTTTTAAAGCGTTCCGAATGGGGGCATTCTCAGTTTATGTAAGGATAATTTTAATTTTCTATCAGCAGACCTATTTGTCACCAATTAAAAGCTGTTCTCTGTGGTCTTTTATAGGGGAAATTGAAAATCCTCTGTAAGATCTTGTATGATAGAAAACCAGACATTCTCATCAAAGGAAGAACACACATGTTTTCGAAGAATACCAGGAGATCGTCTCATAGAAAACCAAGACCTTCCCGTAGAATACTAATTCATAGAAGACCAGATGTTCATTCCATTTAGGTCCAGAAGATCTTCTAATAGAAGACTCGGAGGTCCTCTTACAGAAGACTGAAAGGGGTATTAATAATATATTCTGGACTTCTATGGCAAAATCTTCTACACTTCTATGAGAAGGACTACTAAAAGTCGTATATGAAAACACCTTTTAGTCTACTGTAAGAGGACCTCCGAGTTTTCTAATTAGATGATCTTTTGGCCCTCGATAGAAATAACTTCTCGTCTTCTATGGATTAGTTTTCTACGAGAAGGTCTTGGTTTTCGATAAGACGACCATCTACGAGAAGACTAATGTCCCTTCATTGAGGATACCTTCTGGGTTTCTATCGCAAGACCTTCCAGGTTCATATGAAAAGAAACGATTTCGATGGTTTTCTATGAGAAAGCATATCTGGTACTCTTTGATATATGGTATTTTATGAGGGCCTTCTTCTGATATTCAATGAGGAGACCCTCTTCTGATATTCAATAAGAAGACATTCCGGTGTTCTATAACCCCCTCTAGAAGACAAAACAGAAAGAAGAAGGTATTCTGATATTCTTGAGAAGATCGTTGGATCATCTGGTCTTCTTCGAGAAGAAATCACTGTTTTCTATAACCGGTCTTCTATAACCCCCCCTCTAGAAGACAAAACAGAAAGAAGAAGGTATTCTGATATTCTTGAGAAGATCTTCTATTAGAAGATCGTTTTATCACCTGGTCTTCTTTGAGAAGACCTCACTTAAAAAAAAAAAAAAAAAAAAAACTTTTGGTATTCACATAAAAGAACTTCTTGGTTTCTATGAAGTGAAACCAAGACGACCTTGTGGTCGTCTATGAAAAGATCATCTGGTCTTCTATCAGAAGACATACTCTTCGGAATACCTTACTGGATTTATATAAGGATACTTTCAAGTCCTTTCTAGATCTTCTGTCATTATTTTTTAAATTTCACAGTCTTCTACGAGCAGTGGTCGGCCTCTATTAGAATCATCATCTAGTCTTTTATGAGAATAATTACTTTTCTTTTATAAACACATTTTATCATATTCTATTACAATAAATGCTGGTCTTTTAAGGTAAGATATTCTGGTCTTCAGTGACAAAACTCTCAATTCTTCGAGGAGAAGACCTTCTGGTCTTTTATGAGAATTTCTTCATTCGGTCTTCTGCTGTTTTTAGAGAACACTTTTTCTTTGAAAAAATATGTTAAGATGACCATAAATTCTGCTATCTGAAGACGCTTTGAAGGCCCTATCTTCTTGAGGAGACATCCTGGATGTGAAAATAGCTTTTAGACCTCCATTTCCTTCATAAAAATAAAGAAAACAATCTGGCCTTATACTTCTGGTATTTTATAAGAAGAATTTGTGGTCTTCTTTAAAAAAGAAAACAATCTGGCCCTCGTGAACAAGATCCTCTGGTTCTCTATGACAATAAATTCTAGTCTTTTGATATAATACATTCTGGCCTTCAGTGACACAACTGTCAATTCCTCGAAAAAAAGACCTTTTGGTCTTATGAGAGTTTCTTCATTCGGTCTTCTACTGTTTTTAGAGAACACTTTTTCTTTGAAAAAGTTATGATTACCATAAGTTCTGCTATCTGCAGACGTTTTGGACGTCTTATCTTCTTGAGGAGACATCCTGGAAGTGAAAATAGCTTCTAGACCTCCCTTTCCTTTATAAAAATACCATTGGTATTCTACGATGAGAGCTTCTTCTTCTTGTGTTCTTGACAAGACTTTATTGTTTTCTATAAGAATTCACGTTGGTCTTTTAATAGAAGACCTTTTGATCTTGGTTTTCTATAAGAATAAATATTATCTTCTATAGCAAGAAGTGGGGGAATTCTGATACTCAAAGAAAAAATTTTGTAAATATGACATTCAGATCCTCTCTAAAAAGGCATTTTCAATAACAAAATTCAGTTTACAAAGCTTTCATATAAAATATTGCCCTAAATAGAGGCCTCTCTCAATATGCCGCCTTTTAAAATTAAATATTAAATTTAATTATAGCCACAAATTCACATGTTTAAACAGATGTAATGTTGTCATTATCAAATTAACAATAATCTTGTTTTTTATAGCTGCTACTTCCTTTAATATATATAATTTAAATAATTTTTTCAAAATTAATGAAAATACCCCCATCTCTTAACAATGTTCGCTTAACGAACTAAACAAACAGAAGCACACATCAACGCAATCATAAATTGTGATTTTTTTTTTTTTTTGCTTGTATTGATGCTTATTTGAACTTTATCAATATCACACACACACACACATCTGACCTAGACAAATTAAAATTAAAAAATATATGCATAACTCAGCTTGTGCCACATCGATTTGATTTTGAACGAATTCGTTTTTGTTATGCCGTTATAATTTGCATACAAATCGCGTTACCTTTCTCTCGTTGGTAACTGAAAAAAATAAAACTGCAATCAGGGGGGATTATTTCTGCAAGGTGCATAATTTTGTTATAAATACCACAGAGATCACAGGTGATGAAATAGATGAACCGTTTATTGACATAATTGGATGGAGTGTTGTATAAACAAAAGATGTGACAATTTGTGTTTTTGCATCAAAATAAAAAAGCGGTGATAACCAGAAACAATAGAGCTTTAAATGATTGTTAATAAAAGATAAAACTTAAAACTTAATATTAGATAATGGACCATAAAATGTTGAATCATATAAATTATTTTGTCACATGCTTAAATATCACAACAGATGCAACACAAAAGATAAAAACGTGTGCGTTATAATTTAAGTTAATTTAAAAACGTTTGTTAGATTTATAATCAAAACTGAGTGAAGAATAATAGCATATTTTTACAATATTTGAACTCTTTCTTTCTCCCATAAAAACCCCAACTTCAGACATCGCAAGATTTGCTTCTCAAAGAAGACCACAAAAAAATAGAAATTCAGGGTCCTGGTAAGAAATAAAACAGAACCACATCCTAATCT